AATTTTTTTCCAAAAAAAGATTTATTAAGGACTATATTTTGGATATTAATCGATTAAACAATTTATTGAAAAATAATGAAATTCATTTTTTGAGCAATTTGTTTCCACCTGCAAATGTAGAATTAGACGAAGAGGTCAACGAATATTTAGATAATGTATTTTCTATTTTTAAGAGTAAAGAGATAACACGAATGTGCTCCTTTTTCTTGTTTTGATTTGATAATTTTAATTCATTTATAATAATATTTAGACTCTACATTAAGAATGAAGTTGAATGCTCTAATCCACAAGGGTCAAAAGAAAGCAATAAACCACAAGAAACAAAGGATCATTATAAAATCGAATCAACTGAAACAACCTGTCCTAGAAACAATTTATTAAGAAAGATCGGTTTTTTCATTATGATATTCATCATCATAGGATTATTTCTTTATGTGAGTGTAATCTAATTTTAAATCAAATAATATCTTCGACTCTTAAATTAATTTTATTAATTTCATAGGTTATTAAAAATGTAAAAGATAAAGAAACCAGAATCAAAGAATTAGAGATTAACAATCAAAAGAAGCAAGATAAATATGATAAACTCAGCTTCGAATACAATAAGATGATCGAAAAATTGAGAACGGAAAATGATGAATATCGAAAATTAAAAAATCTCAAAGAAAAAATTGATAGAGATGATAGTGATAGTTTCTGTTAAATTTGATTCAATGAATTTTTTTGATAAAAATCTAATATGCATGCTACGATAAAATATAAAAATAAAATACAAAAAAAAATTTTTTTTTTCAGTTAAAATTATATATTATTATATTTCAATCTAAAGAAAGTAGTTATCGTTATATACTGTCGGTCCTCCCCAAACCGATCCTGATACATTTAAAAAATAACTTAAAAATAGAAACAAACAAACATATTATAAAGAATGCGAATACCACTTTAAAACAATAACCAATTTTTCAAATTTACAATCTTTTATTATGTATACAACACGATCCACATATTGTTCCCAACTATTATTATATTCAACTTGAATGTCCATTTCTTTACATTCGCTTTCATTATTCCACGATTTTGAACTAGCTGATTTTTTTTCATGTTGCTGTGCTATTTTCAAACGTCAAAAATCGACCAAGAATCGACCATTAATCCGTATGTAAGGGTTGTCTAATTATAATAATGGAATCTACTTGTAAATTATCAACCAATTTAAATTTTTCTGAAGCTTTCTTATTTTGATTAATATTAATGTCAACTAAAATATATTACCTTCAGCACTTTTACTTTCAGATATATTAGAATCTATCTCCTTATCGTTAATATCAGAATTATCAATATTCTCAGAAGATTTTGGTGCCCCAGATACAAACATTTTATATTTAGGAATGTAACAAATTCAAAAAAAATAAAGCAGGTATTAATTATCTTTTTTTTTTAACAAAAAAAATATATTATGCAAGAAGTATTGATGACCGTCATTGTGAAATACACGTTTATATATTTTTAAGTTTTGTAATAAGTTTATATTAACTTTGCAATGATTTATAAAACACTTTTTAACGTTAATATGATGTAATATTAATTAACGGTAAATATGATGATGTATGAAGATAACCATTGTGACGTAAGGATATACAGTACACGAATGAATTTGATTTCGTTTTTTTTAATTTTTTTTATTTTTTATATTGTTATTTAATGAAGTTTAAAACTTCGATTTAGCAGAGTTTTAATTGTGACAATTTTGCAGAAATGTAAAAAATTAAGTTATGTGACCTCCTACTTGGCAAGATATGGTCAAAGTAGAGATTTTTTTCTTTTTCTATATTATTTCGCAGTTCTCTGCTACTATATTTTTTGCAAGCTAATTTTTTTTAACAGAGTGGATAAGAACTAGAGATTGTACCCGGGTAGACATTTTATCATATTGGTTATAATAAATTACCCGGATAACTGAATAATTTAATAATACCTGGGTAGAGATTTTCTTGACGGGTACAATCTCTAATAAGAACCTCTATTGAAAACATTAAAAAAAAGTGTCTTGCAAAAAAAATAATAATACTAACTATATAATATTAAAAAGAAGATTGTATGTACAGTATATGATATCATATAGAAAGTAATAATGTAAAAGTGAGTTTAGAAGAGTATTATTGTATAGGTCTGAGTTCTTTAGCATATATTAAATATAACCTTTTGTATTCTTTTAATATAGCTTTTGGGCTTTTTAAGTATTTAGAGTCAAAGTTTAACAAATTGAGTGTGTTTTATGAAGTAGCATGACTTATTGCAACATATATCTGATCTTTAGCAAATATTAATTTGTCTATACTTGTAGTAATATGAGATAATATTAGACCTTATACTTTATAGATAGTTAAAGCAATCTGAAAAAAAAAATTTAGTTTTTCGAGGCTTTTTTTCTGTCTATGTAGAAATATAAGATTTTTTTTTGTATTATGACTTTGGCAATATTAGTAAAAGTTAGAAAGGTTACTTTAATATTGTTATCATTAATTAATTCTAATAAATCCATTATAAGTTATATATTATTATTAAATAACTTATTGTTTAGGAATATAATATAAACTCCTTTTTGAAGATATCCAAATTGAATCTAATTGGTACTCTATGCCGCTTTTAAGTCAAGTAAGGATATAAAAGAAAGAAATGAGTGAAGGATTGGACCCGGTTAGTAATAACACAAAATAGAATAATAAATAGGAATGAACAAGAAATTTTTGCTCAAAACTTGTTTCAGAAATCATTGTAATTATGCAAAAAGTTTGTACTGCTTTTAAATTAAATCTTAAACAAAGAAATTGAGCTTAAGTATACGTAGGTATTTAGTATAATTTAAGTAATGAGTATTTTGAATAAGATATTTGATTACGTGAACAGTTTATGAAGCTCTATATTACCACTCTTATTCTGATTTTTTTTATATTATACAACATAGAATAAAGTCTCTATTAAGCACAAGATATTAAACAAAATAGTATGATTTTTGCATTCATTGATAAAGTCTATAAATTCTAAATATAGCTTTTTTGACCAAGTGATATTACTCAGTTACTTTTGTTTTAGCATAATTTTTACGCCTAATAAATTCTAGGAGTCTTAACTGTTAATATTGTAATCAACTAACAACCCAAAATAGAAAGACCTGTTTCTTCAGATAATTATTTAAACACCCTCTTCTGCACCTTTTACTACCTTTCAAACACTCAACATAAATATAAAAAAAATGCCATGTACTTATTTTTCATTCAAAGCTCAAAAAAAGGGAGTTAGTTTTATTAACTACTGTAGCTACAAGTTGAGCGACAAAAGATACGAGATACCTTTTACAGATGAAAAAGGAAAAAAAGATATAAACATTTACATTGATCCGTACAAAGAACATAAAAATAGAAGCTTAAATAATAAAAAATGTGATTTATGTAGTCAAAAGCTATTCAAAAAAAGCTCTATTCAAATTATTTGTGGAGATATATTCCATTTCAATTGCTTCAGAAGATACATAATCAATCAATATATTTATGAAAAATCTCCTATTATCTGTTGCCCAAACCATCTAGAAATAAAAATTTTCAACAAGATTTATGATGAGATTCGCTCTACACATGAATACTTATATCCCGGAGATCTAGAATTCGCAATTTCAAAAGAAAAAATCCAAAATTCTGAAATTTATCGTAAATATGAAAGAGAAAATAATCTAAATCAATTAGAGACAGACAAAGTTAATCTTAATTTTGAAAAATATAAGGAAGTTCAAGAAGCAATAATTAAGAATTTTAAATTCCATTCACAATATTTATATAAAGAAATTACAGAAAAACTTAATCTATTCAAATATATTGTAACAAGAATCTATTCAAAGGATGACTTTGATACTAAAGCTTTCATAGATTTAGTCATTAAAAATATTAGGGATACTTCTAAACTTCATGCCATAAAAATTTTTTTTAGTCCAATAAAGTATCGACAATATCATTAATTTATATATTATAAATAAAGCTTTCTTTAAAATTCAAGCAAATACTTATAAGTCAAGTTTATTTAAATTTAAAGTTAAACCATGTCCGTACAATATTGAAGCTTGTCTTCAATCGATCTTGTCATAAGGAGATGAAAATTATTAAAGGTTCTTTGTTTACAATTTAGAACAAGCAATGAGAAGTATTCATGCCTATTATCATGCGTATCAAAATCGACCGAATTGTAATAGTATATATGTTTCGAATTAGATTCTTTCGAATAATTATTCACAGCATCATAAACTGATACATCTAGTGTAGGGAAGAATATTTTAACTTAATGACTTTTTTATACTATTTAGTCACGTTAATAGAAATAAAAACCATCTTATATCAGTATGTTTTAACGTACATATCCGATCAACACTATCATAAAATGTTGTATCATACATAATTCGGAGTTTCATTTGATGCTTTGTAAAAATAAGGTAATACAAATAACCACGAAGAAGACAACATAAATTTCATAATTTAGTTCAAATATGATTAGTTATCCTTATTTGAATCAATCATCAATCAAAGCCTTTTTCAAGCGTGCAAAGAATTGGAAAGAATTACATCTGATATGTTTTAATGTGTATAAATTGTAACAGATCAGCATTATATATTATACTGTACATCATACACAACTCGGAGTTTCTTTTTAATGTTTTGTAA